CCAATGCCCTTCTCGAGACCTTCTTAGCTTCCCGCCGGGGCCTGGCCAATGAACCCCTGCAGTCGAAGCTTGGTTTCCCAGCAGCGGAGGAGAAGGGATGGTTTAGATTTGAGTATTCTTCTCCGAACATTCTTCCTGCCGGAGACAGCGAGGTTGCGTTCCACGGCACACACCTGGAATGTTTGCATGGGATACTAGCCACAGGAAGACTTCTACCCTCGACGCCAGACCTCTCCGGCACAAGAAGCTTCGAGGACCGCCCAGGAGTGTATCTCCACAAGCTTTCAAACAGGCATCTCGCGGCCGGATACAGTTGCCTGGTGAGGATAGGACCTCGCCACATATTCGTCCGGCCCATGATCGAGGCGGAAGCTGCTCACTCTGGATCGCAAAAACGTGGCAAGAAAACAAATCAACTAATATACTCCTTTGACGCAGTGAAAATCCGAGCGCTGCTGCTCCAAATCTCAACAAAGGAGACTCTCTCCTTAGGTGATTATCTCCGAGAGTGGAGCGGAATGCTTGAGATTCCGCTTCGACAGGCGCGTGACTCTTTCACAGCTTTGGGATATGATCTGCCTAGTGAAGCGGCCTCGTCAGATCGAGGAAAGGAAGGAGGAGTTCCTCCCCTTCCAGCTCCAGAGCCAGCGTCAGGGTCAAAGGGTGGAGTTCCTCCCCCGACCGAGATCGTAGAGATCACTGACTATAGCTCAGTCACACCAAGGAGCTCCTCTATTGTGGCATGGGAGGGTCAACCAGGTGACCTAGGCGACTATAGCACTGCCTCCACGAACCCAGAGACCAGCTTCTCGTTCGAAGTATCCAAAGCGTTGGCGGCATGTCTCAGGCACGGACATAGACCGTACATCAATGTCACTTCGGCAGGCTGGGCCAAGCTGGAGGATGTGCTGTCATGGCCTCGAGTGCAGAACCAGAACGCCACGGCAGGAGACCTTATGGAAAGTGTTCGTCACAACTCCAAAGGCCGGTACGAGTTGGGGGACTGCCAAGGCAAGAAGTATATCAGCGCGCTGCAAGGACATTCTCGCTCGGACGTGGACTCGACAGAGGTGTTAGAGGAACTCACGGAGGAGATGCTCCCCGGAATGCTCTACCACGGCACATTCTGGTCCTTGTACGACCCAATACGTCAACAAGGCCTTCTGCCACAAAACAAGATCTCCAAGGGCCGCGGCAAAGGAGGACGTGGCAGGGAGGGACGGCAGCATATCCATTTCGTGTCGGACAGCGACTATGGGAAACCAGGCGTCTCTGGTTTCAGAGAAAGCTCGTCCATGTTGGTGGCAGTAAACCCACGCAAGGCCTCACAGGCAGGGGTGAAGTTTTTCCGTAGCGAGAACGGCGTGATTCTCACCCCAACCGTAGTGCCTCCTTCTGTCATAGAGTTCTATCAGAGTCTGAAATCAGGCACCAAGTACGGAGGCGACAATAGGCCGCTCTGACTCCAGAAAGAGAGCCCCGCCAAATGGTGGAGCCGCTCCCCAAACAGACTCTGCAGCCGCTCAGGCAATAAATCGGAGGCTAAAGGTTAAGGGTTAACTCAGAATGTACCAACTGCCAGCAACCAAGTATCCCGAGGTCAGATCCACAATTCGATGCAGAGCCTCGGGCCCAGTCTTTGCAAGTGAACTGCCAGCCAAAGGGTCACAAAAAACAACTTATGCTCGTATCTCACATAGGCTCAACTCACCAGCTGTCTTGACTCCAGTAGCCATGCCCGAAACTCCGAAGAAGAGTGGCACCAGAGCGAACTCCCGCACCCCTCCACCAGTGAGGCGTCGTCCTCACCTATCCAGGTCGCCGCCATCCAGTGATGCTATCCGGGAGTCAGACTCAGACGACGCAGCGGCACCCAAGGCTGATGCACCTAAGGGCCCGCCGCCGCCGGCGCCTGTCAATCTGTCGGGAAGCGGATCCAGTACGGATCGGGCACCAGGAGGCACAGGTAAGGCATCTGGAGTGCCAGTAAAAGGTGGAATCCCAGGAGGAGTCCCTCCCCTGGGACCCCCACCAAAGGCTGCGACCTCCACGATTTCCCATCCGGGAACTGGAGAACTTCATGTCACGAGCACTGGTCCGGCAGGAGTTACTCCGCCATCAGCGAACACCAACAATGAGTTGGAGATGGCGCCTGGCATGCCTCTACTGAGCGTATCATTGCCTCACCGCCTCTTTTTCAACATAGAGCTTGTGGTTCGCACTGAGCCTTCACAGCGAGGCTAGAGTACTCTTTCGAGACAGCAGCTGAGTGCAAAATGATCTGCTGCCAATCAGCCAGTGATACATTGCAACCAAGCCGGTTAGCTTTTAAGCTAGTGCCGAAATCATAACGCCGCATAAGACTCTGAAGACACATTCGCTTCCCACTTCACAGCTTGCAGCCCTGAGGGGCGGAGCGTGTGCAAGTGCAGCGCTGAGGCACGGCTTGCCGTGAAGAGTGACCGCGCAAGTAGTAAGCAGGGCACTAGGTCGATCTCTCGCAAAGCGTGGACGATAAGTTTCACCACAGACAGTCCTCCCCCGCTGCATGTGAATGAAATGTTGTTGTTGTTGTTGTTGTTGTTGTTGTTGTTGTGGTTTTGCACTTCAGGCTTCAGGCGCTGAGGGTGTAAGTCTGTGATGTTCAGTTTCCAGGCTCGGCCAGGCCCATGAGCCGGAACGCTCGTGGAGCAGTCTGGGGCATTGAAGCAAGAGCTTGCGCGCCGCAAGCCGGACAAGCAGCGCACCGTGTAATTGTAGCTATTTTACCAGGCTGTTTGAATGCAATGTCTGCAGTTGCATAATTACTTCGTTGTGCTCGGAGCCGGCTTGTGTACCTGCTTTGCTCATCCTCCGGCTGCAAAGCTGGCAGCTGGCGCTTTTCCCTATGAGAGGATCGTCGCGCCTGTCAAAAAGTGTTTCTTTTGTGCCGTATGACGTATGAACTCCTTCCGCTGCAGCGCGCACAAGCGGACTCTAGATGCAGTTAAACAGTGAAATGCAGAGGAATGATCTCAACAGCGTCCTTGCAGGCTTCTCTGGGGCTGCGTAGTGGTGGGATGCTAGCAGATGTTTGCCTTCAGTGGCTGATGAAGTGTCATTGAGTTTTGCTTATGGGAAGATAGCCAGGCTCGGTAGACTGGTTAGCTCATTAGCGAACTGCGGCTTCTCGTTCGTTTATTCAAGCTCGAGGGTGATTGAATTCGTGCTTTCCTTGCTCAGGAACTCGCGCTGAGTTGTGACTCTTGGAGGTGGTGGTGGGTGGAGGGCCGGAGCTCCGCACGAACATGTAAGACGTCAACGTTGTTGCACGCACATCACCGCACCTCGAAACTCGTTTCTTTCTACGCCGCCAGAAGCATGCGTCCTCGTGGTTGCAGGAGGCATTAACATTGTGCTGCACACCTTGTTAACTGCAGACCTCCTTCAATTCAGAGGAATGTTGAGGCCGGCATTGGAGAGCTTGCGACATCTCTTCTTCAACGGCTCTTGTCGCTGAGCACATACCCGCACCAGCATTCTACAATCAAGATTGCAAATGAAGAAAGGTGCCAATCAAGCTTAGATGGCAGAAGTCAGAAGGAATGCTAAGGTATTTGCATGCGGTCCAGGTCCACCACACAAGGAGGCAAAATGAAGAAGGTATGGCAGTTACAGGTCAGTCGTTTCTAGTAGGGAAGCAGGCGCTTGTCCGCTGACGATACTTGCTGAACCAGGCAGGGCGTGTCGCATATGCGCTTCCTGGGCAAGCTTGCCTGCTCACCAGACGTTTGCAGGCGAGTACAGCTTTCCAGGGTGGAATAAGAGAGCCTAAGGCTAAGATCTCATCGCTTGTTTTTCTTCACGTGTCAGAGGGAAGCACCTAAAAGGTAGCAGTGGAATAGGAAGGAACGACTAGGAAGGGAACAGTTTATGGTCAAAAGCTGAGGCCCTCCCGCAGCCTCAGGGACTCGTTTGCCCCACAGCGTGGCCATGTAGCCGAAAGGCTGTTGGATGATGGGACCCTCTGCCACTTTGCCGGAGAGCCACGGTCAGATCTCGAAGTGAACACAACACACATGCGCATGAAGGTCTGCGCTCATCGATTTCCGTGTGACTCGCACCTGTGTCGGGCCTTAAGAAAAATGTTTCTGCGAAACGTGCCAGCCACTGACCGTGACCCTCGGCAGGTCAGCCGGGAAGAAGTCTTCGCTGTCTGCACAAAGGCCGCGACTGGAGCGGTTTGAGACTTTCCACGATCCCAGTTCCAGTCTGTCATCATAGGAAGTTTCGATAGGAACAAGCGTAAAACTCCTGACGCACGAATAATGTCCATGGCTCCCAGATGAATCTATATCAGACTGCAGCGGCGATGGCGGCCGACGAGTGCTTTGCTTGTTGGAGTGCGAGGATGCTGTTGAACAGGGTTCCTTTGATAGGCCTGCGTATTTGAGCATCAGGGTTTAGAGCTTAGGTCGAGGAGTTTAGGCTTGAAGCTCTGCGGTTCGGAATCTCTGCTGTCCCATAGAATGTTGAGACACCCGTCGGGTTTTGGCATGCTCCGGCGCCCGCGAGTGCACAACAATTACAAGCTCTCTGTCCGAACCTCGTTCCCAAAATAGCCAGTGGCAGCAGGTGGCGGAACAGATCCGAGGCAGGGACGCTGTCATAATGCACCTCTTATTGCCAAGCAGAGTTTGGCAGCTTGTTCTTTGACCACCGCATATTACTAGATAGGAGGGAAGCAACACCGCCAAGGTTTAAGTCCGAGTGTGAGCGCCGAAACACCAAATCGGCCCCAAGCTGTAAGTGCCATATACCCAACCCCCTCGCAGCGCTGCGAGACTTACAACTTCGTAAAGTGCGGGTTGGCTTCACATGCATCTGCATGTGCGCTAGATTGACTCTGCCATCACCCGCTCGAGCCAATATGTCTTTGGCTCAATGCGACATGTTCTTTTCCAGCCTGGTGCAGAGCGTCTTAAGATCGGCATATAATATGCCGAAGTGTCTTCAAGGCAATGCTGATGGTGTTGTTAGCAACTTTGACAGCAGTTGCCACGGCTGACGAGGCGGCTTGCAGACGCTTCGTGGTTTCCGCAGATGTGCGAGATCCAGATCAGCGTTTGACATATCTGGAATGCATGCTCTCATTCTCTTCAACACTGGGTCTTGATGAACCCTGCCTTGGGGCGCTGTCGTCGCTGGTCTCAAGGCCTGTGAGTAGCACCGCCGTGTTGATTTCTGAAAAAATTCGAGATAGCCGGGAAGAGCTGGCAACTAATCTTGGCGAGGTCCTGAAAAGTGTGGATGTGATAGTCGTAACGGAGTTGCCTGATGACATCAAAATACAAGATATCCCGAACGTTCGGTGCAAGAAGTTGGTTGACAATTCGCCGATGGATTGGGAACAGCTTCGCAGGATGCCAGTCATGGCAAGAGGGTCTTTCCGGCAGGCCTACAAGCTCAAAGCTGCTTGGATGCTGATGGAACACTTTGAGCACCTTCGCGGAGAGTCGTACAGCTACGCTGTGCGGCTACGTACAGATTGGCACCCGACCATTTCGATAGCTGATTTGTTGCAGTATTCCCACATTGTGCCAGGTACCATTTATCAACGTTCCGATGTGTTTGCGTATGGTCGTCGGTACGATATGCAACGGTGGGTCCTTTACAGTTTCAGACTCATGGACAACAACTTGTCAAATGCTCTGGTTGAAGGTGTGAAGCATTACAGGCCCTTAAATTGGAGCCTTGTCGCATTGAGTGAAGTCGGATGTGGTCCATTCTCTTGGCTTATATTCCCACGAGAGGTCGTTGGTGACATATTGCAACTTGGTCCATATTGGCCAGCAGAATATCCAACACTCGCCCTTGACATAGTCAGATTCCACGAGAGTCGCCTTCTGCAATTTGACGTCGGGTTGATGGAAAAGCCTCTGCAATCCATCGCTTCATATCGTGAGGTCCCTGCAGTAAGCGTCAAGTGCTGCACTGTAGATGACTTTGAGATCGAACTGGCCCTCCTACACAACTTGTATGACCAGGGGCTTGTATGCCATGCTCCACGCATCCCTGCTGAACAATGGAGGTCTTACAAGCCTTACATGGTGCCAAGCTACTGATTGCGCGCGGTAGCCAACAGAAAAGATGGACCTGTAAGCCACAGTAATCTTGCAGTAAATGATAGGTGGATATGGGTGGAGGTGAGGGATGAGGCATGCGCAAGATAGATGCTGTGTCGAGAAGCTAAGTTTCCTGTGGGTGAGAGCTGAAAAGTGTTCCTATTTCGTTTGTTTCTCAAAGGCGAATGTTGCGCTGCAAAACGCCTTTCGCAGGAGTTCCTTAGCACGTGTTCTTTTTGCAATACACTCAGTACAATGTTGTCGTTTGAATTGAACCAATGAGAAGCTGTCACATGATATGGCAGGCTGCTGAACCATTCGAGGGGTTGGGCCGGGTGAGAAGTTTGAGGGCCGGAATGGGCAAGAAGCTGTACTAAACTCGAAGCCTTCAAAACCCTAAACATCTTTAAACCATAAACCTGAAAACGGTATCCGAGCTATGCGAGGGGCAACGAAGCTTCAGTTTCAGGGGGATCTTCTCAACACTTGTAGGCTTCATCAAGGCACCGGAGAGGTGTTAATGGGAGCTGCAGTACACCGGCGGCCCTTGTTTGAGGGTCTACATCATGCGATCCCTCCTATTGAATCCATAAACCTTTTCGGAAGCCTTATCAAGAGCTACTTGCTGACCTCCCACCCCCGAGTGGTTGGCTACTGACAGGCATCCTGCTTTCATCCTTTCGTCTATGCAAAAAGGTAAGCAAAGCATGTCCCTTGGACATGCGGTTCTCTTCCTCTTGGAAGACGACATCAGTGCAGCAAGGGGTATCCGCGTCCGTTGCGGTTCATGCTTGAAGCGCCTGTTGCTCATGTCTTCACATGCCCTCGTCAATGCTGTTGCTGCAAGCATGTCCCGGCACCAGAAATCTGAGTCACGGCGGATGCTTCTTGCTCTCAAAGGGCTCCGGAGCCGAGCCAGAGCTCGGAGGTCACAAATGGAACGCATTTCACGGCTCATAACATCTCTTTTCTGCTGAATGTTGTTTAGCCTCTGGGAGTATCCTGATAGAAGCCTTTCCTAGACCAGGGTCTTATTGGTTTCCCCTGAAGTAGAAGCACGACTCTTCTGTTCATACCTGCATATCTCATGTGAACTCTAGTCAGCCCAACATGAACTTGAATGGCGGGCACAAGTCAGGGCTGGAGCGCATCGTGAGAGAATTAGTTTTGCGAGTGGCACAGATGCTGCCCTTCGATCAGGCCTGACGCTTCGAGTGCCTGAGAGAGAGAGAGAGAGAGAGAGAGAGAGAGAGCCATTTTGGCTCAAGTGCTACACCTTTGCTTGGGGGCCTGTGCCGCCCCTGGGCATCGGGGGGAGGCAGGGGGTTAACCTGGACTGTAACTCCAGGGGAGCCTTCCTGCCTTTCCTGTGGTGCTTGAGCTTCATATCCGCAGCCGTGTGCTTAAGTGGCCCCGTCGTCCCTTCGCTCTGCCTGATCCCTGACCGCGGCCCCTTTCGAGGGTGGCCCGCCAGTAGGGGGGAAGGCCATACTATTCCGCCGCGGAACACAAGGTGATCCTCCTGGCTTCTTGGGGGCTGTTACGGCCCATGACGGAGCAGTGTCGCTTGTGCAGACATGCAGGGGGCGTTGAAAGAGCGGTCGGGATGTCAAAGTCCGACGGGGGGAAGAGAAGCCACAGAGCAGCAGGACCACAGCCACAAAGACCCACAAGTCCAGAACAACGGAGCGTGACACCCAACCTGTGGGGGAAGCCAACACAGCGACCGGGGGACAGAACCAGACCGACGAGACCAACGACCCTGAAGACCCTGCCGGGCAACTTAGTGCACCCGCAGCTAGGTACAAGCCTACATGGCCCAGCGCAGGGGAGAGTCTTCATGAGCACCGAGTCGCACTGAGCCCTACGGGGGAGCCTGCGGAACAAAAAATTCGATGCAGTGCAGTTGTTGGGGGATTTAGGTTCCCTGACTCCCAGTTGTCCCGTTACAACACAAAGTAGACAACGGCAGACTCATGTAGTGAACTGTTTAAATGGGCCACTGGCCCCACCCGTGGCAAACCTTGAACTTCTCTGGCTTCGTTAAGCCCCGCGATCGAATCGCACAATCTAGGCTTCTTTTCAACACGACTTGAGCTCTAGGGAATTCGGAGGGGGGATGGAGGCATAATTCGACGCAAAGCAAATCCAAGCCGTTCGGTGATACCCGTTCGAAGTAACGGGGGGGCATGTTTTTCCTCCTCCCCTCCCCCACTGGCAGAAATTGAATGTGTTTACTCATACTCCTTGACGTGACTTCTGCCGGGGGATCTTTTCGGTGCTGTAAAGCCGAGCCCGTGGACGCAAATATCCACCGGGAACTGTGCCGAACCGCAAGTACAGTCGAGCCTTCAGGGGAAAATCCCTTGAAAGGGTAAGACCTCCCGCGAGAAGCGGGTGTGCGCGCGCGCACGGGGTGATCGGCCTGGACGCTGCCGTGATCCCCAAGCCCGGAAGAGAGAGAGAGAGAGAGCTAAATCATTGGTCGCAAACAGCTTCACCCTCACATTCACCACTCGGGCCAAGTCCTGACAATTCAAGAAGAAGTCAACCTACCAAATCGCCATGCAGTCATGTCTGTTGATTGCCTGCATGGGGCCAGATTGGCCCAAGGATCAGGATTGTTGCAGCAGAGTCTGCGCAGAGTCACACCAAGATGCCGTGGGACGTCGGCAAAGCTTTTTACAGCGCTGTCGTCATCCACCTCTGCGGCGCGACACTGCCTGTGGCACTGAAGCACCGCAGCGACTTTTCGTTGTCTGGATTGCCCTGGGATCACTGGGAGGGTCAATGGAGGTCCAAGCATCTCTGCTGGGGTGGCTCATCCCCATCTACTGATGCGCTTGGGAAGGTGTTCCAGTTTCCAGCTGAGGATGTCACTTGCGAGTTCCGCAACGTGTGCTACAGCTTGGCAACAGAGGAGTTTGTCTATTCCAAGGACTCCGAGCCACACCGACCCCTCCCCCCTGTCAGCATCTGGAGTGGCCCACCTGAGCCTATCTTCGGTGGCTACGATGCGCCGCGCAAGGTACTGCCTCTGCATGTGCAGGAGTCGTTGGCCCCGCAGAGTGTGCTGAGCGCCCCGACATATGTGATCTTGCGGGGTGCCAGCTCAAATCTGGCCCACATGATCCACGATATGATGCTGCCGCTGGTCATCCTCCTGTCCCAAGCTGAGGGCAGCCGGGCCGGCGGCCAAAGCGGCCGCCGCTTGATTTTCTTTTTGGATGACTGCAATCCATCAAGCATTTACAACAGCCCGCCGGCCATGCCCAAGCTGAGGCGTAACACAAAGAGAGACACATGCGAGCGGTTCAGTGATATGCTTGTTCACATCATCTCCGATTGGCCATGGCTCGATGTGGAGCGCCTGCGCGAGGCCGACCAGGCCGAGGCCGGCAAGCAGGAGATCTGTTTCTCGCGACTGATTGCAGGTTCCGGTCGCTACGGTCTCTTCTCGGGCTACAGCGAAGATAGGCTGAGTGGTCTTTACCTGAACACTATTGCCAGTGGTCTGTTGGGCACCCACATGCGGATGCTGCGTGACTGGGCCTACGAGCGAGTGCTGGATCCGCACCCAACTGGCCAATCACACCGTGGCATGCTGGCGCTGGTACGCAAGCCGTCGGGGGAGCGCCGGGATCTGGTGAACTTGGGAGAGGTTACAACGTGGTTGGCAGACTGGGCCGAGACCCATCGACTGCAGTACGTCGAGCTGCGTCTTTGGGCCATGAATCTTCAGCAGCAGTTGACGGTACTGTGCCAGGTGCGCATTTTGGTCACCCATGCAGGGTCTACACACGCCGCAAGCAGCATCTTCTTACCTGACTGGGCCAGCGTCATTGTCATACCGCAGTGCGGTGGTTGCAAACCGGCTGAGGACATCCGGGAGGACTGTAGCGGGGACAGCCTGTACCTGAGGCCCTGCTCAGCCGATGAGATGACCTTTGATTTCGTTTGGCCACGGCCTTTGCTGAGGATCTTCTGGTATCCGGCCACGCTGCAAGACACCGAAGAGCGAGTCGGACACTTGGACGTTAGGATCAACCACAGCATTTTGGTCGCAGTCTTGGAGGAGGCCTGTGAACAAACGCTGCGTAGGTTCGGGCTGAGGCCGCTTAGGGCTTGGCGTGGTCATGCGGTAGGCTGCCCAGGCTTGCTGTCTTTCTGAGAGGCCAGCCAGCACATGGACTTCCACATGCCAGAGCCGCAGATATCAGAACTCCCGAAGCTGCGGATCTTCTCATACACGTGGCCTGAGATGCTGCATTTACCGCTGCTGCTCCGCTGTGCTGAAGAGCAGAACCGAGGCCTATGGCGGACCTGTGCAACGAGCATCAGTGAGACCTACTGTGGACTTCTTCATCGACGTCCTGCCTACATGGAGACTGCGATTTCAGATCTTTTGCCTTCTCTTGGCAGCTGCAGCTGTGTGAATGCAGCTCTTGAGGCCGGGGCTAGTGGAGTGTCCTGGAACTGGCAGCAGCTCTCCAACGTGGCTTTCCTCAAGCTGCAGCTTGCAAGGCACGAGCTCCTTTTTTGGTCAGGCCTAACCATGGATACCATGACCAACATCTTGTTTGGCATGCCGCACTCTGTTATGGGCTTCTTCGGACACCCGTCTTTGCTAGAGCTTCTGCGGCGACGCGCGTTTTATGAAGACACTGAAGGTTTGGAGTGTTTTGACCGAGATGACTGCACTGCGAAGCGTGTCTTGACGCTTATTGAGTGGCTGATGGTGGCACGAAATTTGTTCTGTGAACACGGAGGCCTCTCAACTTGGGAGCTAGCGTCCGACGAGGAAAGCATTGACCTGATAGATTTCCGCCGTCACACTCTACTTGTGGATACCATGTTTGTGGAGCTTCTCCGCGATGCACAAGACTCCACATGGGGACCAAGCGTCAAGCTGCTGCTGAAGGTTCTGCAGGAGGAGCTGGCAGTGGATTTTGGCTTGAAGTTCCGGGTGACAAGCCCATGGTGCAGCAACAACATCAGCGCAGAGAGTGCCGGTGGGGAGCCGGCGCGGCTTTTCACGGACCTGGACTTCTCATGGTTCTCCGAGCTGTGCGCCTTACGTTTGGAGCCGCAGGAAGGCTCCGAAGCAAACGAAGCTGTAGACTTAGAATACCTTGAGCCCCACACAGCTGAAGAGCGTTCGACCTGCAATGCCAGTGATGCCAGTGAAGGCTCACCCCTAAAGAGGGGTGATCTCCTATTCCATGTGTTGGGCCGTGCCGTGGTGAGCCCACAGCATCGGCTCACCGACAGCGCAATGGAAGTCGAGGTGCTGCTTTTCGTTTACAGTCTGGATGGCTGCATCCCAGTCGTGAGAGAGAAGGTCGGCCATGTACTCTCCCAGCCAGCGGTGCCGCTCTTTCCTTGGCGCTGCAGTTTCGACGGCTGGAGTGGCCAAGCTGTTCCAGTCTCCATGATGGGCTTCACTCTGACCATCGTGTGCCCGGTCCCGGCGTGGATTCGCCAGCCTTCGCTCCTGCGCCTCTTTGCAGAACCTCAGGACATTCAGCTACCAATCCCCCTTTGTCAGAAGCAGAGCCAGCCAAAGGAGCGTCTGCGATTGGCCATCTGCCTACGGATCCATTATGACATCAGAGGGCTGATAAAGGAGTCTGGCTTACCATATCTGGTCCGAGATTGGATGAACTTTCATCTTCTCTCAGGGGTGGATAAATTGGTGATCTACGATGAGGATGGATCCTTTGGTGACTTAGACGCTGACTTGTCAAGGCATCCTCGAGTGAGCTACTTCCCTCGTTGGCCGGAGACGTTTCTGCCACTTCTTTCAAGCCGCTTGCAGTTGGGGAGGCAAGAAGTCGGAAAAGACAGCCTGGCCGCACAGGCCAACTCCCACTGTGTTATGATGTTGAAGGGGCAAGTCGACTGGATTGCCATGCTGCCCGGCTTTGACACCTTTCTCTGGACTTCGCAAAGCTCGAAGCAGACGGGTGCCTTGAAGGCGGTGCTTGCAACCGTGGAGCCTCACCGCCCAAAGCTGGCCGCTCTTCAGCTCATGGAGGTGCAGTACACTCAGGGCAATTATCCAAAGGGTTCCACACTCTTGTCTCAAAGGATGCGGGGACCCGCCATCACCAACCAGTCGCACACGCTTGTCCTGAACCCAGAGACCGGCTCAGTGTTGAATAGCTTTCTTGCGGCTTTCAACTTTTCATGAATAGTTTAGCCCAGTCAGACTATTCACAGGCTACCGTGTTCGATAATCTCTTGACAGTGATCCAGGAGAATGTGCTGGAAGTTGGGATGGGCCACTTCGCTCTTCCGCGCCAGGATGCTCACCTTGTGGCAGTTGAGGAGAGTCTGCTGCGGGTGAACCACTACATTGCTCCTGGGATCCTTATGTGTGTGAGTTTGGAGTATGGGAATTTGGAGGTTCATGTTGGGCTTCTTTGGGGTGGTAGCATGCCAAACGCCTTTACATAGCATCCTTACGTATCCATGTATGCCTATATCGTTACTGTATCGAGTAAATTAGTATAGAATCCCGGGACATGACGGTCTTGCCCTGGCCAGTTCCTCTCCTAGGACTTTGTCGAGTCCGATGCCTCCCGATGCCAGAGCTGCACCTTTCTGGACGACATGCTCAGCCCGGAGCTGGAGTCAGAGCTGGAGATGATGCGGAAGACGACCTGACGCGACCATCCCCCAACAAAATTGGCATAATGCAGCTCCCGCAAACAGCCCCTATACATTTACAGTGTCCCAAGCAGTGGCTTACAGGTTTCAGTGTGGTCATCGCAGCAGCACCCGGTGTTATGAACACAACCCTGTCTTAGTCCAGAGGTGGAGAATCAGGCGGCATGTTGAACCCTCCCGAAACCCTCTCGTTGCTCTGGTGCAGCATCAGCTTCAGGCAGACCAGCCCATGGGCACGAGCAACCTGTGCCATCCTCCGGGACAGCATTGCAATTTCATGACCAACTGGCGGGGTAATGCCGGTATTTGGACTGATACCTGCTGCACCCTCTACGTACAACCCCGACAGGCCACTCGACTATCCCTGTAATCCCGGCATGCTCCCTTGTAAGTCTTCCCACTGGCCCATACAGACTCCCCGTAATCACCTCCGCGTTCTGATCGTCTGTGAGCCATCATCCCAAGTTGCATCACTGATTGAAGTTGTAGAGGGCCGTCTGGTCCTGGGCTGCGGGCGTGTCCGAAGTTCGGCATGATTCGGCATGTTCGATTTCCGTCACCTCAACATCTGCACCGGCAGGCAGCACCGCTCTTCTCGCCCTTCTGCCGGCATGCCGTCGAGTTTCCCAAGCAAAAGTGCAAGTCGCTCTCACTTGGCAGCTGGAGGCAGTGTTGGGAGCGACTCGGGTGTGTTCCTAAGCTCTGAGCCGGCAGGCCACGAATTGAACAGCTCAGACGCTGGAGATACCTGGAGCCACAGGCCTGGCCACAAAGATGTCACAGAGTCGCAAGCGGCTGGCAGCCTAGGCCTCAGATGCATTTCGACCTCTGGCGGGTACTGCCAAGCTAGATTTCCATGCGACTGCACGGTGTGACCATGTCGGGTGCTGCTTCGATTTGCCAGATTTAGCCTCAAGCCAAGCCTGGTGAGCAGAATGAACGTGCGAGACGGCCACAGCACAACCGAACTCGTATCTGTCATACATCCCTGACTATCCCATCCCTACCAAGTGGCTGACCCACGGATTGCACTGCAGGGTCCCATGTACACTTGACACAAAATTCCGTCGTGATTGAATTCCAAAACATGTGCCGCGGTGTTCCTGCTGTGCTGTCTGTTATGGTGTCGGTGCCACTGCTGGTGCCGGTTGGCACTACACTGACAGAGCGATGCATCGCAGATGCAGAGGTTGCAATCGCGCAGACTCCCGAAAAGTTCATTGACACGGTAACCTCGTCGAGGTTGTTCAAGTTGCACATGGCGCAGTATTTTTGCAAGCTGGGTTCTCTCAACATGACGGTGCTGGAGCTTGGTGTCCACCAAGGATACACAACACTAGTTTGGGCGAATATTTTTCAGAAGGTCATTGCCGTCGACTTCAACGAGCAGTGGCTTCAAGTTGCTTCCAAGACAACCGCAGACAGGCCAAATGTGGTTCTATTGCATGCAAACCTGATGACGGACAGCTGGACGATCTTCCGCAACAATCAGGTGGACGTTGTCATTATTGACGCGAATCACGACTTCCACTATGTGCGATCAGATGCATACAACTCGCTTCGACAGCTTCCAAACCTCAAGTACATGGTTTTCCATGACTACGGAAGCGAAGATGGGGTTCGGCAGACAGTGAAAGAATTGTCTGGGAGGCGCATGTTGCAAGACTGCCAGTGGCTGGGTCTCGGCCGGGACGGGACTAGCTGGCCGTCCCTCACGTGGCACCGAGACACTGACACAATCTCTCCCACGACGACCAACTTGTCGGAAGGAGTAGCTTGCAGGTCTGTGAAGGTCCGAGAATTGCGACCCCCCTTCACGGACCTGCGTTATTACGTGTACCGGCAGCCTGTACAAGAACTCTGTCATGAGGGAGTCTTTCGCTTTTTGCCGGGAGGGCAGCTTGCCACTGATGTGTGGCGGAAGGGAAGCTGGACCTACTCCAGGGATCCGACTGGCAAAAAGGGTGATTTACTTCTGGTTAACCTGGCTCACATGTCCTCGGTTCCGCTCGAGGTGCTCTTCAATGAACATCGAACTGCCTTTCTGCTTACTGACGTTGGTGGCCTTGGTGCAACCTGGTATGGCCTTCAGGAAAACCTTGCAATATCAACACTGATGCGGACCAACGAAGAATTCTGATACAGCAGACCTTTGCTGCTGTTGTTTACCGAAAAAGGGTGGGCAGCGAAAGAACAAGCATCTTCAGATTCGCAGGATGTCTCTTTGCTATTCATTGCCCGTCTACCCTGTTTAAGCCAAAAGACAGTACGCAAACAAAACAAAGCGAACGACGCGACGCGACGCGGTATTGATCTCGGGCAGTATGGCCGTAGTGCGGTATTCGGGGACTACAAGCAACAGCAAGCATCGGTGTTTCTTGTTGTGACACATTCAAGCGGGTGGACTTTCGACTGCGGGACTGGAAGCAAGAGATTGGCAACGGGGTGCTTGGCTTGTGACATCAAGCTTCAGCTAGAGTGCGAAATAAAGCAGGGTACGCTTTTGCAACAGAGCTTCGGCCCTTTGGACGAGGTCGGCTCGCTCTGTGACCTCCTGGCGTACTGAAGCTGCAAACGAAGGAGGGAGCGCCTGTTTGATGCACGGAGTTTTGAAGGCTGCTAAGCCTTGCGTCTTGCTCGATCAATTAAGGGTCTAACAATGATGTAGCGCTTCAATGCTGCCGAGAGTACTCTGAGCCTGGAGCCGGGGCGCAGCCGCAGCAGCAACAACGGCAACAACAGCAGCAGCGATTTGCAACAACAAAAGCACAGCAACAGCAACAGCCACAGCGCAACAGCACCAGCACCGGCCCCAGCATCAGCACCAGCCAGAAGCTGTGCGACGAGTCAGCCCAAGAACAGACTGCATCAAAGGCATGTATTACACCACTTGGAACTTGCGAACACAGTCACAAATGATCGTTTGCCGGAATGGAGACCTGTGACACATCATGAATCCTGTACTTGGGTTTTGGGAACTTGTGAAAAGGAAATGCTGTAATTTGGGGCATTTAGGGCTCGGGCCTCGGTGGTTGGGACCAAGGCAGACAGCAACAGCACTCTTGCGCGGCGTAGGCTCCCGTCAGCTCGTTGTGCTTATTCTGATCTGATCTAATCTGATGACCAGCAGTGCTGCCTGATCTAATCTCTCTTTAATCTGAGCTGAGATAAATGGACCTATGTGCAATCGGCGAGCCGCTGCACCGGCGCGGAGCTGCTCTCCGTGTGCTGAATCCCGGGGATTCGCCGGGATGGTAAGCGGGGATTCCCTGTTTGGTCTCGGACGGGACTGAGTCAGCGTGCCTACTATAGGATAGAGTAGCGGAGGGTAGTGGCGGCGGACAGCGGGCGGCGCGTGCGCCTATGCGAGCCCGTGCGGGCGCGCGAGCCCGGGTATCGCGCGGTGCTGAGCTGTGCTGAACTAGGTGCTGAACTTGGTGCTGAACCAGGTGCTGAACTGGGTGCTGAACTGGGTGCTGAACTAGGAGCTGAACTGGGTGCTGAACTGGCTGCTTAAGTCGGTGCTGAACTGGGTGCCCAACTCGGTGCTGGACTCCACCGTCCCGCTCTTCCGGGATCTTTCGGGAGTGGAGGGAGTGGCAGGGTGCCGTCGAGGCCGGGGCATTTGTGGAGCAAGAACTTGCAGCTGGCGCGATCGCGGCTGCTGAAAAAGCACCAGGCCAAGGTCGCGATGCGCGGCCTCGTGGAGTGGCGCTGCCGGCACCGACCCGCCAGGCAGACTGCGCATCCACGAGGCCGAGGTGCTGGAGGCTTGGGTGACCAAGCTCGACTTCGGTTACGTCGCCGGCACGGTAAGGGAGGTTTTCGCCGCCTCAAAAGGCGCGCCGGGACCGGGGCGACCTGCCGCGTCTCCGACGGGGTTTGCCACGGCGTGGACGTCGTGCGCTGCCGCAAGAACGCACTCGCGAACGCCCCCTTTCCCCCTTTCCCCCTTTCCCCTGCCCGTCTTCTGTCCGCTCGACAACATACGCCCCGCCGGGGAGGGGCAGCTCGCAGAGGCTGGCCGACTTCCAGTGGTCCCTGAACGCCACGGCCCACGTCTCGCCGAACTGCCTCTCTCAGCCACTGGAGATCATCATGGCGAAGCGGCCGTGAATCCCTTGATCGGGCTCTGGGTCCGCTCCAAGGACGTTTGCTCCTATGCGCACCTCCAATCACGAGGTGGACGGCCGGGGCTGCCAGGACCAGCAGGTCTTCCTCGACGACCAGGGGCGCTGCCACTACGACCATGTCTACGCCAGAGAGCTATTCTCCAACCCATCCACGAGGCCGGCGCACGACTTCGTCGGAGTACGTGGAGCCGTGGAGCTCGCGAGGATCCACCGCGTTCTGGGGTTTAAGCTTTTGGGGTTTAGGGTTTGGGCTTTGGGGCTTAGGGTAATTATGTCCTCTTTCGTAGCCGCCTCACAGTGACTTGGCCGAGATTATGCAGTTCGTGAGCCGAGACATCAAAAAGACCATTTTGACGCACAAAAAAACCAATTTGATACGTGACTCTTCAGCTCTACGCTGCACGCTGCGGAGCCGCCGGAAGGATGCATACTTTTCTTGTAGGCCTTTTGGCTTTCGGCATCCAGCGCTTGGGAAGCCTGGGGTGAGAGGTTGAAGGTGAGATCACTGTCCGCTGGGGTTGAAGAGCTCTGGAGTTTATGTGCTGGCCCACATTTTGCAGTGCTGGTTGGGATTTCGCATCTATGCATGCCACCGGCCGAGTTACATGAGAGCGGTGCACCATCCAACCGCCCAGATGATGTTCGGATTGGGGTTCAGTGAATCAGGGAAATGCTGCAGTGCTGTACCGGACTAGCTCTGCCGTTGCCTTACAAAACATTTGCAACTCCGACCCACATTCTCCATTCGCGGCGCTGCCATGGACTACTCCTCTGCCTCGGACAGCGAGTTTGAAAGCATCGTCGATCCTAGGCCGAAGCGTTGCGACTTCTCTACATACCCTCGCGTTGATCCACTGCCAGAACCACCACGACTGCAGCTAGTGAAGAAGTTGCATTCCTAGCTATTTCTGTTTTGATTCCTGGCGAGTAGAAACAAATTTTGCTGTTTTTGGTATCGCCGCCCTGAAATCATCCCTTGTGTTATTGTTGTGGATACATGTTTTGCCATCCTTGCTACTCTACCTCGTTTTCGTGTTAGTCTGGAGCCCTGTGTGTGCGCAAGGAATAGTAGTGGATTGTGTTTGTTGTCATGACCTTTGTTGACACAACTTTGTTGTTTCCAGTCACGTTTCTGCGTCACGTTTCTTACTGCCGAGAATGGTCCTCCTTGTCGTTGTTCGTTTTAGTGTTTCGTTTGGACATGAAGAGTGTAGCGAGTTCAGTAGGAGCGCTTTGTCGCGGCGAGTCCCGTGAGGCTCAAAAAGATGAAGGTATTGCCATAGCGTTTTTCTGTTCTAGCAGACAAGAACACACCCCCTTCGCCGCAGTCGGTTGTTTGGCGGTGCCAATCGGGATGTGAGCTAATGTAAGATGTATCTTATCAGTTCATGTTGAGAGAAGCTGACATGCCAATGACTACATTCGGTTCACGGCGGAAAGCAGGCACGGTGCTTCGTGCCTGAGCTTCGGCTTTCTTTCGCACGTTTGTCCTGGCCCTACCTCGTTTCTTAACTGTTTCTTCCTTACCTACCCTTGTTGCGTGGTTTGGGTCGGAATAGTTTCAAAGCTAAAACTCAGCCGCAATGCGACAGCTCTGACATTTGAAGATGAAGAGCTTGAGCTGGTGCACCATGCGTCCCCCTTAGTCACACTTCCTGTTCTCACGAGCTTGACCGTCGGCAACCCCAACTTCTGTGCACGTCTCCAAACCCAGAATCTTCTTCAGGGCAATGAAGGCATCGCCTGTCGTCTAAGGACAGCGGCCTCATCAAACGCAATGGCCCGGGCGTTGAGGCTCCTTGATTCGATGATTCGTAGGCTGCGTGGAGAGAGCTGGGCAGCATCTAGCTAATTTTTGATGGAGCGGGGGCGGACCCGCTCGATCTAAGCTGCTTCTCCGGCAGTGTCAGCAAATTTCATTATCCAATGCTGCTGCTGCTGCTGCTGCTGCTGCTGCTGCTGAGCTGCTGCTGCTGCTGCTGCTGCTGCCGCCGCCCCTTGCCCGTACAGCTACCGCAGCCCGGAGTTTGTATGATTTTTTGTTTACCAGCATGTGCTTGTGTTGCAAAAAGAGCGGATCTTCTACATCTCCTTGCAATATGTCAGTCTCAGAAAGCTGTTCACCAACACGATCACCAACAAACTCGCCGATGTTTCGCCGCTGCGGGTGTGCCGGAACGGGGCGAAAGTTTGTTCCGGTGCCTTCGGATTTAGCAACCACTGTTGGTGTGATGTTCTACCGATTGGCAACCGTTGTTGAGTTTCAGCAGTCCAGGGTCATGAATGCAGGAACGTGGTAGTACCGTGCGGTCACATAGGAGAAACATATTGGCACCGTACCAGTATCGTAGTACCAACGTAGCCGCAACGCAGCAGGAAGGTAGCACAACGGAGTTGCAGCATAGTAGTAAGGTAGTAATAGTAGTAGCAGCAGCAGAAGTAGAAGCAGAAGTAGTAGTAATAGTAGCAGCAGCAGTAGCCGTAGCCGTAGCCGTAGCAGTAGTAGTAGTAGTAGTAGTAGTAGTAGTAGTAGTAGTAGTAGCAGTAGCAGTAGCAGTAGCAGTAGGAGTAGGAGTAGGAGTAGGAGTTGGAGTAGGAGTAGGAGTAGTAGTAGTAGTAGTAGTAGTAGTAGTAGTAGTAGTAGTAGCAGTAGCAATAGCAGTAGGAGTAGAAGTAGGAGTAGGAGTAGGAGTAGTAGTAGTAGTAGTAGTAGTGGTAGTAGTAGTAGTAGTAGCTTGTTCATTTAGTGGAGAGAGACAGAGGCAGAGAGAGGGAGAGAGAGAGAGAGAGAGATAGAGAGATAGAGAGATAGAGAGATAGAGAGATAAAGAGATAGAGAGATAGAGAGATAGAGCGAGGGAGAGAGAGAGAGAGAGAGAGAGACAGAGAGAGACACAGAGTTGCCCCTCTGATTCCAGTTGCCGAGGGATGTGTGAAACTAGGTACATTTCGAGCCGTGGGCAATGCATGTAACATGTTGGCCCCACTCCAGTCGGGGGCGCACCTGCGCGCGGTATAAGAGGTAAAGCCCTTATACCATAACCCTGGCGAAAAAAAAGAGAGACAGAGTCCCCTATGCCTTGCGGAAGAAGAGAAAGAGAGAGAGAGAGAGAGAGAGAGAGAGAGGGAACAGACGCTGGTGAACTAAACCCCTCAGTACACTTAACTATGGGGGAAGTCTAGTTCTTTTTCAGTGTGCTGATGCGGGGGATACACCAGCTTGCATGTTTGAAACGAGAGCATGCGGCCATCCTGAAACTTTATCGTATACTTTATGGCAATATCCTTCGGATGGACTGTGCTCGTTTCTCACGCCTCTGGACCCGAAAAGACTTCGGGGGGGCATGATGCCCGGAGGCTTTGACAGGCCTCCATGCCCAGGAGAGAGAGAGAGAGAGAGAGAGAGCGAGATTGAGAGAGTAAGAGTAGGCAGTGTCACACGGACCTTCAAGTACCAGGGTGCATGCTTGCCTGAGGGGAGTTCACCCGGCAGTGTGGAAGAAGAGAGAGCCGGAGAGAGAGAGAGAGAGAGCCGTAGCAGGGTCCGTCCTTGCACCCCACACGCCCTGCAAGCAAGCAAGCAAGATAGCCCAATAAAACTTGACACTGAGAGCAGTGGTTCTACTTGCGGTTGCTGTGTTCGAGGCCTAGCCGGAGCGACAACGACCCCCCAATATGTGCCTGCATCGTGTGATACGAGACTTCTGTTGCCATCATTCCTTCCCCAAGAAATGCCGGTTTTTGCACTCTTCGGGGCAGGCGACCGACAGCAAACTCAGGGACCATGACCACTATCGCAGGCAATGTCTATCTTGTTCTTGTTTCCTGAGCCCCTGCATAGCGTCATGTTTTATGGGAGTCTATCGCATGTAATACCGTACTTACCTCCAACAGTCGGGCGTCTCCCACGTGGGCGTGCCCTCAAACCTGGTGAAGGAAAGTGCGCAACAAATTTCACACCCTGCAAGAAGCGGGCGGGCTTAATGCCCGGGGGGCTGACTAACTAGCCCCTTAAGAATGGGAGAAGAGAGCCCAACAGCATGGGGCGTTAGGACTGCTGGCGCCTCATGCCCCAAAGCAAAGCAAATCAACAGCAATCGGCCCGGGAGGCTTCGGAAACCTCCTACTCCCAAGAGAGAGAGAGAGAGACCCTTGCCACTGCTGCTACTACTACTTCCACCACGACCGCCCCAAATGTTCGTTGTAATGCTCCGCCGTGGCTGAGTTGCCCTTTGATTTGCCTTGGTGAAGCATTCGGCTTCCTTGCCGAGGTTTTGTCCCAAACATCGTGCTGGGAAAAGTCATGCCTCTTTGTGGGTGGTTTCATCGCTCTTGTGCAGGGTGCCTGGGCCTTGATACGGGCATCCAAATTTTCGTGCCTGTTTGTAAATTGAGCGTTCGGAGGAATGGCATTTGCAGTCCAGGATGTGGCAGGTTTTAGGCAGGCAGATGAACGCTAGGGCTCACAACTTCAGGATGGCGTCTTGCCACGCAGCTCTAGCTAGAACATGTCTGAAGACAAGAGTGAACCCCAAAGTCTTACTCGGGAATCTGGGCAAAGCAGGAGCGGCGGAGCCCGTCGTCGCCATGTTTATTGGCACCTGTGCTACCCGGCTCAAGTCCTAATAAGAGCGAGAGTTCTAATCTTGAGAACCGGCATGTCGTCTTTGGCGGTATTCTGCGCTTTGTGTCGTTTCGGGTTTTTGCCAGAGGCAGGATACGCTGCCGGTCTTTACACATGTAGAGCCGAATTAAACTTCAGGTTCTGACTCGCGCACCTGCCCCGATGGACTAAACCTTCGATCTCGTTTTTTCAATACCAGCTTGAATTGAAGATAACTTGAAATGGACACCTCATTTTCAGAAGATCTTTTAGAAACCTCAGCGTGCTGCTTTCTTTGGCCTGTCCTCAGTTCGATGTCATCAAGACGGCTCCCGCCGACGTGGTGCTCGAGGCACCTGGTCGAGCACACAGCTTCAACCACCGCCGGATGTGTGTGCGAAATCCCGTACCTGCATCGAACGCCTGACATCTCGAGATCGGGCAGGAGATGCAGACGCCTTTGCTCTCCATGGCAGTTCTCGCTACTTCGGCTGTGCGTCCGGGTTACAGCTTCGGGATTTGAGGATTTCGGTCGTTTCTGCGCCGGCCCGGATTGATGTCCGTGCTTTGCAAGGTTCAGGGCTTTTGGTGGATGAACATATGCCTAGCAGCCTAGCAGCCTAGCAGGTGTTGGAGCAGCAGTCAAGAGGCTGCCTGTGTTGCTGAGGGCCTTGCTTGACTAACATCTGGTCGCCACTGGAGATCAGGGCTCGACGTTGGTTCGTTTGTCGTTTTGTCGTCTTTTGCCCACCGGCTTCAGCGCCCCTATCTGCACATTGCGAGAACCGAATGTCCAGTCAGCGCTCTCGCATCAAGCCACAAGGATCACAACCACATAGTTTGATGCTGAAGCCCAAGGGACTCGTGCGTCCCAAACTGAGGCGTTGTCCGTTTTTTTCCTCGCTTTCCTGTGGCAGACGCTCCTGCCCCTTGTTCCGAAACCTGCTTTTGCTGTTCAGTGCCTCGATTCCTCTTCCTGCAAGAATCTGCTAGAAGACGACGATGGCCAAACGTTCGATCGCATAGATGGCGATAGGCAGTTGCACTGCCGGCTGCTGCACCGTCACCAGCACGCAGCACAAGCGCCAGCACTACCGCCAGCAGTGTCTCAGGGTTCAGATGAGGACTTGAGTTTACCAACATGAGAATTCGTGACCTCGAACTCCAGTCTTTCAAGGATGCTCGCCGCAAGCCAGCAGGCTCTGCGCTGGCAGGTCCGGTACCTCAAATCCTTGCTCTTTGGCTGCTTTTCAGCTTAACAAATTCTGGAAGAACGCTGTGGCATGGGCCCGCTGAAGCCCCCAGCCCAAAAGTGCAGGCTCTCTTTAGACATCACGTGGTTCGACGAGAGTGATGCGGCCGGCTTGTCCTCAAAGCCCCTGGGCACGTGAATTCCGCCTTGAATGGTGTCGGTTTAGAGTTTGTTTGAACAGCCAAATAGATCCCGGCAATTCCCAGCAAGTTTGTGCGCTTGGCGGGTGGCAGTCATGTCGCGCATTGGCTTTGGACATGTGTTACGTTGATTTCGGCTTCGCGACAGCGCCGAATATCACCGCACATCTGTGGGCGGTTTACCTCGAAAATGCAATGGTGTCTTTTTTGTTCTTGGCTTTCTGCTTCGCCGGCTTCTTGGTCTCTTGGCTTCCTGGTGTCTTGACATTTCATACTTTACATTATAAGTTATATATCTACAGTCTTTACCCGTACATATATATATATATATGCATACATATACATACATACATACATATATATACACTATGGTCTTATATTAGATTATGTCTTAGTGGCGGCCCTGCCCAGATTTAGTTTGGCAGTGCTGCTTCCCAGCTGATCGCAAGAGTCTGGGTTCAAAAAAGTGAAATAATATATGCTGCGCTGAACCTCCGAAGAGGCTGAGAATTGAAAGAGCTTGAGAAAAGGTTCCAAATCTTCTGAACAAGAACGAATTCCGGTGCGAAAACACTATTTTGCCTGTTTCTGCCTTAGTAGTGCCGCTTCTACACTACTCGTTCCTGCAACTGGTCCGAATCCTCGCAAAAAAACACTACATTCAGCATGTATCTTCCTGTCTAGACTGGCCCCTGTACCCCAAAACAACATGTACGCCTACGCGCCGCGGACCTAGTTGGTAGCAGTAGGAGAAGTAGTAGTAGCAGTAGTTGTCGTTTTAGTTGTAGTTGTAGTTGTAGTAGTAGTAGTAGTAGTAGTACTACTACTACTACTCCTGTAGTAGTAGTAGCAGCATGTAGGAAGTAGTAGTAGTCGTCGTATCAGTAGTAGTGGTGGTGGTGGTGGTGGTAGTAGTTGTAGCAGGAGTAGTAGTAGCAGCAGCAGGAGGAGGAGTAGTAGTAGTAGTAGCAGCAGTTCGTAGTAGGCAGTTGTGACAACAAGTCAACTACAAGTAGGAAGTAGTTAGAAGCAGTAGGGGTAGTAGTAGTGGCAGTAGTAGTAGGAGTAGCAGTAGTAGTAGTAGTAGTAGTAGTAGTAGTAGTAGTAGTAGTAGTGGTAGTAGTACTCTTGCAGTGGTAGTAGTAGCAGTAGCAGTAGTAGTAGTAGTAGTAGTAGTGGTAGTGGTAGTAGTAGTTGTAGTAGTAGTAGTAGTAGCGGTAGTAGCGGTAGTGGTAGTAGTGGTGCTGGTAATAGTGGTAGTAGTCGTAGTAGTCACGAAAGCTCTCCCCAGGGAGCCTTTCGTTTCAAAAGTCAGAACTTGTTCTGCCAGAAGGCTTAGGGGGTGTGTGGGGAGAGGTGGCCAATCCGGTCCCGTTTTTGCATCCATTCCCCGTCCTATGCAGGGATTTAGGGCTGATCCGAGCGGGGCCTTTTTTTGGCTCCAGCGGCTGGGGTTCTAAACGACCCTCCAATGGAGAAGCGAGCCCCCATGATGCTCATGATGCTAGCCTGCCGGCGCCAATTGGGATCCCAGGATGCTCATGATGCGCTTAGCTGGCTTAGCTTCTTTGAGACGCCTAGCTCTCCGGCGCCTATACCGCTTCGCTTTACGTGCATTCCGGAGGTGATGGGCGTAGCGGTGGCGAGACGGTGCACGACATGTCTTCAGGACGTAACTCTCGAGGCCCTATGTGGCTGCTTGCAGGCCGACTTTCAGGTTTGATCTTTGTGTGCCTTTAGTGGCGCAGTTCATGATGACGTCGATGTGTGTGTCAGTCAATGGTTTCTTTCCAATCGACTTCGCAATCGCATGATGCACAGTGTTTGCGGCAATGGTGGTGGACGAGGTAAGGGACAGGGCAAGCAGAGTAAGGGTGGTAAGCACGACATTGTTCAGAAGTCTGATTCGCAGATATACATGGAAGCGATGCAAGATGCCTTGCCGGAGGCAGCCCGTATGAGAGCTCAGACTACACTTTTGCAGAGCGAATGGTCTGTCAATGTGTGTTATCATCAGTCCCTCACGGCTAAAGGTGGTGTGGCTGTTGCTCCAAAGGCTTGTCTTCCTGAGCTTATTTCTCGCATTGGTTACACTGGGCAACCTTGGTTTTGATCACGCAGAACCCTGATGAGGTTGGTCTTCGGGCCTATCCTCGCGATCTTATCAGTTGCACTCTAGTTGTAGCTGCAGCCAGCGGCACGCATGAGCACGTCCAGGCTAAGCGATGGTTGGTGCAATTAGGGTTTGGCACACATGTCATGCGACGCGTTGAGGGCGATGAAGTCCACATCGGAGTTCACATGGTGAAGATGGTGTGCAAGCTCAGTGTTTTGCGTGGTTGGGCTATCGGTCCTCATCCTGCGTCTGTCTTGATGTCGCAGATTACCGCTCACATTGTCGAGGCTGCTGTTGAGCATGTTGTCTCAAGAGAGGATGGCTCTTTCACGTTCTACTGCCATGCTTCTTCGGTAGACAAGGTCCTGCAGGCATCTGGCAAACAGGGTGTTTATTACAAGGTTCATCGGGACGAGCTGAGTTCACAGGCTTTCGATCTGCTTTGGTTGCCGGAGGAATATTCACCTGATGATGGATTGCGTCTCTGTTCTGATTCTCGGGTCTTCGGTATGGTTGAAAAGGGTAAGAATGGACGTCTCTCTCTCAGATTTCGTGATCCCGAATCAATGTCAGCTTTCGCTCGCGACAAAGGCCTGGATGATGTCTCCGCTCTAGGCCGTTGGAAAGTCAGTGGTGTTCCAGTCTCTGCCGGTCTTCACGGTCTTGTTGAGATGTTGCTGGCCAAATCGTGGAAGGTTGAGCAAGTGGTCTACTTAGATGACACACATGCGATCTTCCTTTCGGCCTCTCGTGGTATGGATGGTCCGTTGTATTTCAGACATGGCACACAGGCGCATCAGATACGCTTTAAGGCGTTGAACGCCAAGGCAAGGGAGCTCTCCAAGGATGAGGCCATGTCTTCCCGCGCATCAGGGGTTTTTCCGCAGCGACTTAACAGAGACACAGCTCAGTCTTCTTTTCTTCGCACAATCATGCCAGAGCCCAAAACCCATGCTTTTCAGGATTCCCAGGACAGGCAGAAGCGATCGGGGGGCAAGTCCGGTGAAACACCTGATCCGAAAGCCAACAAGAAGGATGACGCAGACTTGTGAACGCGGTTTGTGGTGCAATATTCTCCTTTATGATCATTTTCACTTCGTCTATGCTGCCTGGTACATGTGTTCCTTCATGCAGTGTTTCATTCTTGGGAGCTTTTGCGTGGCAGTCAACTTTTACATGCGCGTGATGAACGGGAATACCGCTAGCCACAAGGCTTTTTCTCTTTGCTTCATTAACGCGGATGGTGTTATGGGCAATGGTCGCACGCATGCTTTGCAGGCTACACAAGCTGATGTCATAGCCATCAGCGAGACGCATCTTTAAGTTGGAGCATCAAAGATGCATCCAACGTTCTTTTGGACAGTATGAGTGCTTTTGGGGTGCGCCAGTGGATGGCAAATTTGGAGGGGTTGGGTTTCTTGTCCGTCGTGGGTCTTGCTGGCACGTCAAACTTTTGGATTTTCCTGTTGGCTCCGCTTGTCGTGAAACACATGAAATGTGTGAGTGGCACGAGCATGTTAGGGCGGCAGGGCGGGAACTGAATTGCAAAATGCACAGCAGCCGGAGAGCTCAAGGAAGCCCATTGAGCTCAAAGAGGCTGCGCTTCATTCGAGTTTTCATGTCGGGGCGCGCGGCCGGATGAGCTGATGAGTCTCTTTCCGACAGAGGCTGAGACATTGGCCTTTACCACGATCGACCAGCTTCGTCGATGGTATGGTCTAGCCGATGAGCCCTGGCAGGCTTTCCATACACAGGTGGGGTTGCCGGACATGCGCATCTTGAGCGCCTTGCCGGCCGAAGCACTCACCGAGAATATTATGCTGACGAGGGTTGGGGCCGCTGCTGCGTCCTTGTCTCCAGCTCATGCCGTCCAAATTGGGCTGGTGTGGCGCTTATCGAACCGGATCATGTATACAAGAGGCGGGGGTGGCTACAACGAGTGGCAGGACGTGGATCCTTGGGCCAAGCCGGCCGCAGTCACTGCGGCTGCCCCTGCTGTCGCGCCGCCTGGCCTCAAAGAGCGGGGGATAAAGATGTCGGCGATCATCGACCAGTCTGATGATAGCGAGTTCGTGCCCGGCTGGTTCCATCGATACCTCAGGATCATGGGTGGGCCACCGCAGGACAAGGAGGACTGCACTGTGGAGCAGCTCTCCGCCCTGAACAAGAGAGTCCACACCTTAGATCTATGGGGGTTTGGCAACCATATGGGCGCCGGGCCTTGCGGGCAAGCAAGTTCAGAGCGTGGTTTCCAGACGGGGCAGGCGGCTATATTGCGAAGGAGCTTCCGGGACCATCGGGCTGGAGCCAGTAGCTGTCGGCCTGGCGGGTCTTTCAGACGGCGGCCATCATGCTTGACATCCTGCCTCTTGCAAGCCTCCAGTTGTACGAGAGGCACCTTGAACGATTGGTCAAGCTCTACCCCACGGCTTGGCATTTGGTGGTGCTGGCGGACGAGAAGGCACGCGGAGAGAAGTGGGCCCGAGTTCGTTTGAGGATCAGTGCCGAGATCGCCGCCGGCAAGCCGGCACCAGACCTTTGGGACGCCAACCGGCCATGGATTGCAGCCCTGCGCCAGTTGGTTCACGACACGACGTTCTGGGATGACCAGGTGAGGTCGCCGGCCAACGCTTGGGTTGCCACTGGGAGCCGGGGGTCTCCAAAAGCCCCAGAAGAGACCTTCACGTCTTCACAGGGGACCGGGCCGCAAGACCCAGGGGCAGCCGGCAAGCGCACGACCAAAGAGAAGCGGGCGGCCAAGAAGCGCAAGATCCAGGCCGAGAAGGAGGAGCTCAAAGCCTTGAGGGCCTCTTCGAGCACAAAGGGCAAGCACGACAACAAGATCGAGAAGCCGGGCGCGCTCAAGGCGAAGGACCAGGCTGGTGACGACCTTTGTTTCAGCTGGGACTCGGCTAAGTGACCATGTGCGGAGTGTGCACCGGGTGAGGGCTGCAAGGGGAAAATCAAGAGGATCCACAAGTGCAGGATCTGCTTGAGCCCCGGCCACCGTAGCCAGGACTGCCCGCAGCGAGCCTAGAATCGAGCAAACAGCAGGGAAGTTGGCTGCATGTGTTCTCTCCTTCTCCCTCCTTTGCGCCTCCCCTCTCCTTCTCGACTCCTGTGTCGCATTGCACTGACCGAACATAGTAGGAGCGGAAGCCAGGGACGCATGCAAGCTAACAGTTGGGGCACGACACCTCGCCGGGAGCCGCTTTGGCACGACGGTGAGCAGGGAGCCCAGCCAGGCGGGTGCGGCCGACGGGCCCGGGAGCCCACATGGGCATGACGGCCAGCACTGCGCTTTGCTTCCTCCACTTGTTCAGCGGTGCACGCGACAAGTTGGGCGAGGCGCTTCTGAGAGAGGCGAAGGCTTCGGGAATCGAGCTCACCATCGAGACCTTTGCAAAGGAGATGACCTCACGAACCCGAGCCTCGTGCGAGAGATCCTGGGAAAGGCCAAGGCGGGCTACTATGGAGGGGCACACGCAGGCTTCCCATGCACTACCTTTACCAGATTGCGTTGGCGAGCGGCGGCTGGACAGCCCGGCCCGGTGCGTTCGAGATCGCACATCTGCAGGATGAGGCGGACAAAGGAACTTTGTTCGCGATCACCTCTGTGGAGATCCTGGCTGCAGTGGACGCGAGCCAGGCCGTGGACGGAAAGCAGCGACCGGTGACGCTGGAGAACCCGCCTGAGTCGAACCATCCGGAGGCCGGCTTGGCTTACTACTTGTCTGAGGTGGTGCAGTGGCTGAGCCGAGCCAGGAGCGGATCGAGTACGCCGAACCTGCCTCTACGCCAACCCCGACCTGGGAGAGCTGCCGTATCATAAGCCACAAAGATTCGTGGGGAAATTGCCAGGGCTGACGGGCCTATCGGGCAGGTGCAAGTGCGGCCGGAGGACCGATCACCCAAAGGTCGTCGGCACGAAGGCGGCGAAGGACTCGGCCAGCTGCCGCGCTCTGCACCAGCTACGCCAAGCTCGTCGTGGAGGCCTGGCGGAAGGACTGGAGGCAGCCGGGGAAGCGCAGCGCAGAGCTGCCGAGCGCAACGCAGCGGCCCATCGAGGAGGCACACTGGGCCGGCGGCCAAGGAGCCTTCGGCAGCCTCCGAGCTCAGAGTTCGAAGAAGGCCAAGCGGGACCAGGAGAACAGGAGGCAATCGGCGGTATGCGCCGGCCAGTGACACGTCCCCGGCCTCAGGCGACGCGACGTCTTCGACCGCTTTGTGGCCCGCTTGCCCGGAAGGTGGGGGAGCGCTACGGCACGGAGGGCTTCAAGATCACGGGCGTGGAGGAATGGAAAGCATGACAGAGCTGGAGGCACAGTTTGGGGTGTGCTCACAACGCCCGGAGCTCACACTGAAGAGCCTCCTCCATTACGACACGCCGGTCAATGTTGCCTTGCTGGAGGCCTGGACGCAGCTGGCCAAGGACCCGGACCAGGCAGTCATAGAGTGGCTCAAGTATGGGGCCCCGCTCGGAGCCAACATGGGGATACCTTCGGTCGGCATCTTCCCACCAAAGGAAGAGGACGCTGAAGCCTGGGAAGAAGCGAAAGCCGAGGCACAGGTCTGGGAGGCCAAGCAAAACTACAGCTCCTTCACCGCGAATCCCACCGAGTCGACGGAGGAGATGGAAAGGCTAATGGACCTGGGCTATGTGCGAAAGATCACCGAGGAGCAAGCCGCCAACTACTTCTCCGGGGGGGTCGTCTCGAAGCTGGGCTTGCTGATGAAACCTAAGGCGGACGGCACAGTGAAGCGCCGCATCATCGTGGATGCGCTTCGGTCGGGGGCCAATCAGCGGGCCCGTTGCCCCGAGAGGATCGTCCTCCCTCGGCCGCAGGATGTGTACACCATGGCGGCCGACCTCAAAGCACTGGAACCTCAGCTCCTCGAGTGGTACCGGGCCAAAGGGGAACCAACGACCGAGTGGGGATCCGAGCTCGTGGCCGCAGACCTCACGGACGCCTTCACCCACTTCCCGGTCCACCCGTCGGAGCATGAGCAATGCCTGTCGCCAACGGGGGACGGCAAGAGCTTCTACGTGTTGGTGGCCACAAGTGCGCTCCTTTAGTCATGTGCCGGTTGTCGGCACTGCTTACCAGGCTGCTTCAAGGGATGTTTTGGCAAGCTGAGCTGCAGCTGGCCACCTACATCGATGACCCCTTGACGGCACTGGTGGGCTCTCGTCACCGGCGCCTTCGCAACCTCAGCCTGGTACTGTTGACCCTCGGTGCCTTGGGGATCCGGTTGGCCTGGCACAAGGGAGCCAGGGGCTGCAGAATCACGTGGATCGGGGTGAACTTCACCCTCCGTTGGCGCGAGGGGGTGCTGGACAACGAGGTGCCCGACAAGCTTCGTGACGAGCTCCTGGAGAAGCTGGGCAAATGGGCCGCCGGCGGGATGGTGCCCCTCAGCCAACTACGGACCTTCGCCGGGAAGTTGACCTAGGCTGCCGGCATCTACAAACGGGCTCGGTGGGCCGTCTCCATGGTCTACGGGGCCATCACGGCACACGAGGCGGATGTCAGATCTGGAGCAGAAGCCACCCGAAGGGCAGCCAGGCGCGACAGCAGGCCCAAGGACCACCTCGTGCCCGTCAAGCGTTTTGAGCTGGCTCGGGCATGGCTTGAGAAGCTGCTCAAGGAGAGGCGCCCCAGGCCTACGATGTCGTTGTGGAAGCGGCCGGAGTCCATCATGATAGTGACGGACGCTTCCCCACAAGGTTGCGGTGGCCTTTTGCTCGGGCGCGCCACCACGCAATCGCCCTGGTCTCCCCTCAAGGCCTACGAGTACCGCGTGGAGCCCAAGGATGCAGAGCTGCTCGGGTTCCACCACAAGTCGCACAGAAGCCAAGGATACTTGGAAGCCTTGGCAATCTTTCTTGCGCTCCGCGAATGGGGGGCACTGTTGGCATCCATTCGGGTGGGGCTGGCCATTCACTTTCCACGGTGGCCCTGGCCTTACTCGAGAAAGCAGCCTCCTCTTCGGCGGCCCTCAACCTCCTGGCTGCAGAGATGGCGCTGCTGCTGGAGAAATTGCAGGTGGGCGAAGTCGCCCTCTCCCACGTGCCGGGCAAGCTCAATGTTTTGGCGGATTGGCTTGCACGACCGGACACCAGAGGTGTTATGCCGAGTCAGCTCCAAGGAGTCAAGATAGCCAATCCCAGCAAGCTCCAGGGGAGCGACTTTTCATTAGGCTTTGCTAGGTCGCATGACGCCGCAGAGGCGGGAGCGTCCTGGGCAGCCCTCAAAGGGTGACAGCCAAGCAACCCCACATCACGAGTGTTCGTCTGCTGTGGGAATTACCTCAGATTTTCAGTGCGTTTGTGTGTGAAAATTTCGAGGACCTCGCGGCAGTCACATGTTACAAGTTCGTTTGCCTAGGGTTCCTATACAGTTGCCCACCCATGTGCACACTCAGGAAGTCCGCAGACCATGGAGCTCGTGGTTCGCTCGGGAGGGGGCCCCCTCGAGGTGGCCCAGCCATTTGATCCATGGCCCCTGCTGCTCGCTTGCTTCCTCTGGACGGTGTGCACCTTCCCACCCGCAGCAATTTGGACCGCGCCGCGACTCGTCAGGTTGGGGCTCCGCTGGGCAGTGCGGCTTCTTCATGCAGATCATCCTGGTTTGTTGTCAAGGCCGGGCTCCCCCAGGACCCCGGCTACCAGAAGGTCGAGGACCCAAGGAGAACATGCGGAGCACCGGGACACGAGACCTCACGGGGACGATCGAGATCAAGGACTCCGGCGAGGCGACAGAGGAGCAGGGATGCGGGCGAGGCCGGCGTCGGGAACATAGGACTTCGACATCGCCGCGACGGGCCTCGCGCAGAAGATCTACAAGCCAGGCCTTCTCAGAGACCTCCGGCTCAAGGGAGGCCCGCGCATGTTACGCTGGCAGGGCGGGCCGTGGGTCACCGAACGCCACACCGAAGCGGGCACCCACGCGGCCAACCGGTTCCAGGGAGGACTTCGCATGGGGCACAGCGAGCCACACGTTGAGAGAGGTGGCGACGCAGGCTCCAGAACAAATGGAGCAGATCCCGGATCAGGGCCATGGGCTCACCTTGGGCCACCAGACCACACCTCTCTCAAGGCTGACGACCGACGGCAACCAGACTTCGCGGACATGGCCGCACGGACGCTAGCCGACGACCGCAAGCTCAAAAGCACGGGCCGCCATCCAAACCACGAGACCGTGTACAACCAGGCCGCGGACCATATCGGGGGAAATCTGCGTGCACCCCACCACCAACAAAGGCGCTAAGTTCGGCAAGGCGCTCGACGTGGCCCGCAACAAGGAGGCCCTGGCCGAGGCGGTGGCTTGGAAGACCGGTTCTTTGCTGACTCTAACAAGGCGCCCCAAGCTCGCAAGGAGGCCGACGTTCTGGAGTTGATGACGGTTCTGACCTCCGGTGCCCAGGCCTTCCCCTTGACGCCTAAGACGGTCGTGCAGTTCGGTGCGGCGTTGTTGAGTGCCGAGTACCGGTCCGCCGAGCAGTACCTGGGGGCCCTCAAGCTGGCGCATGTGGAGCGGGACTACCCCATCAAGAGGACCTTTGACCTCACGAAGAGGGCCTTGGCGCGGGACAAGGCGAAGGCCAACCGGGCCCCCGAGTTCCAGGCCGAGGACTTTCGGATCGACGCGATGGTGCAGGACCTCTTCCCGGGCGAGCTCGCATTCCCTACCTTGACCTACTGCCTGGCCCTGGAGTTCATGTTGCGATTGTGTGAGCTGGTTCAGCTGAAGTGGGACGATCTCGAATGGGACGACAACAAGGTCACGCTGCGCATCAGGAAGTCGAAGACGGACCAGGCCGGGAAAGGGGTCAAGCGGACCCTTGGTTGCACGTGCCGGACCTCGCCCTCGACATGCCCGGTGGAAGTGGTGAAGAACCTCGCCGCTGCAATGGACCGAGCAATGCCAGGCCAACGTGGACCTGGGATGTGGGTGGCCTGCACTTCCGAGGGCCACAAAGCATCAAAGGAGAAGGTGGTGATGGCATGGTCGAGGGCCGCAAGTACGCCAATACGAGGCCATAGCCCGCGGAGGTCGGGCGCGATGTTCTATGTCAGGGCCGGCCTCACCATCGCGGAGGTGACTTATTTGGGACGATGGCACTCGGACTTAGTTTTCCAGTATGGTGAGGAAGCCTGGGAAGGGCGCCCCATGAACAAGGGGAGCCACTACGCGGAGACCAAGAAGGCCAAGATCGAGAAGAAGTCCTTACCGGGGCCGGGGCCGACACCTGCCCTTTCCTCCGCTTCCACCTCCAAAGGACGTTGCTACGAGCTCCCGCTTCGTCGAGGAACTCCAGGCCAACAGACCTAAGTGGATCAGAGCGTCCGGGAGATCGAAGGTCGTCCACCTCCTCGGCAACCACGCCGGGAACTCCTCAGCGACCTGGAAGACGAAGTGCGGCTGGCCGTTTGCGAGGACCTGCCACTTCACCCTTTATGTGTGCCCTCCACCGAATGTTCCGAAATGCCGAAGCTGCCGTGTTAACCTGGCGAAGTCCCGCGGCGAGCCAGATGGATCGAATGATGCGGGAGAAAGCTGAGGATGGGTGCCGTGGCATCTGAAGACGGCAGCGGAGGCATGCCATCGGAGCGCAACGGACAAAAAGAATGCGGAGCTCTCGTGAAGGGTGGAGGGCGGGAAGTGCAAACATTTAGCGAGTGCCGTGAAACACATGAAATGTGTGAGTGGCACGAGCATGTTAGGGCGGCAGGGCGCGAACTGAATTGCAAAATGCACAGCAGCCGGAGAGCTCAAGGAAGCCCATTGAGCTCAAAGAGGCTGCGCTTCATTCGAGTTTCCCACCCGCCCACCCGGATCGAATGATGCGGGAGAAAGCTGAGGATGGGTGCCGTGGCATCTGAAGACGGCAGCGGAGGCATGCCATCGGAACGCAACGGACAAAAAGAATGCGGAGCTCTCGTGAAGTGTGGAGGGCGGGAAGTGCAAACATTTAGCGAGTGCCATAAACAAGTATCATGCGGTAGATTGGCTGTGCTTTCGCTCTGGTTGGGCAAGGGTTCTCGACAGCTTCTGGTGTACAATATGTATGGCTACAGCGGGGCTCGTTGGAGTCTCAAACTCAAACATTGGACGCATCGGCTTATTGAAGATGCAATGGGAGACGCTGCCATGCGAGGTTTGCCCGCGGTACTTGATTGGTGGTGACGCGAACCTGGAGGTTGATGATTCTTCACTTTTGCATCGCATGCCACAGATGGGATGGGTTCATGTTCCAGCGATGTGCGGTCTTGCTTCTGTCCACACTTGCTTCAAGGGCAAAGGCTCATGTATTGATCATGTCTTTCTGAATCCATTGGCAGCCTCCAGCTTTCACGACTTTTCCATTGGAGATCGAGCGGGTTTCGCGGATCATTGTCCTCTGTTCTGCAGCCTTGCTATTGATGTGTGTTCTCAAACTGTGCTGCGCAACCGCAGCTATGCACAGGTGCAAATGGGTCAATCACATGTTCCCCTGCAAGGTCCGGTTGAGGCGCTTGGCAACAAGTTTGATCATGCCTTAAAGACTGGGGCAGTTGACGACGCTTATCGCATGTGGAGCCGGTCTGCCGAGAAACATCTTGAAGCCCTTTGGTCTCAGCATCAGTCCGCCCATAAGTTCCAACATGGTCGTGGCTCGGTCCGGCTCACTTCGCAGGATCTTTGGCCTCCTTCTTGTCGTGACTCCGCTGCTTCGTTGAAATGCCGTCGCCTGTGGAGTACTGCTTGTAAGATGGTTGAGCTTGAAAAAAGGCCTTTTGGACACAAGGCTGCTTGCACTTGGCGCAATGCCAGAGAGGTTCTTCCTTATCTTTCAGGTGATGTTGCACGTGCAAAATATTCTTGATGGCCCTTGTTCCGTTGAGAATGCCTGCACGGTGAAACAACAACTGGATTCTCTTTTGGTGTCTATTCAGAACGAGGAAAAGCGTGCGCGAATTCAGGCTTGGAAGCGTTCTTTGCAGAGTTCTACTCGGTCACAACACCGGTGGCTTCGACAGGACTCCATGTCATCCACTCGCTTGTGCTTCACAGGTCCTGACGGGAAACTCACCGCCAACATCAACAAACAGTTTGAAGCAGTTCGGACTGCATGGCGAGCGGTTACTGATTTATTTAAGGACGGTGAAACTGTCTCCGATGCTTTCTTCCACGAGTATGGCCAGTTTCTCAATCCGGTTGAAGTTGAGCTTCCACATTTAACGGCGGATATGTTGAGGACGGAGCTCGACTCCTTCCAGTCCAGGCCTCGATGCTTGGTGTCATCGCGATCTTCAGCTCTTATCCACTCACGCGCCCTGGGTATTCGATGACCTTTGCCGCCTCTTTCAAGCTATCGAGTCGCATGGCAAATGGCCTGACAACGCCATTGCGGGTTTTACAACGCTCATTCCGAAAGGCGATGCTGCTCCTGCCAATTCTGGCGAGCTGAGGCCGATTACAGTATTGTCACTACTTTATCGCCTTTATGCGCGTATGCGTGCGAAGCAGCTAAACAAGCTTTGGCAGGAGGGTTTTGCGCCGGAATGTATGTGGGGTGGAAGGACGTCCCGCGGCGCTGAGCCGTTACTACTCGACGTGGCGTTGGACTTAGAATCCTGCGGTCCTCATCATCTGGTCGCTGGGTTAAGCTTTGACCTGTCAAAAGCTTTTGATCGTGTTCCTCGTGAGCTACTTGGTGACATTTTGCGGAGAATGAAGATGCCGGGTTGTGTTCTCCGCCCGTACCTTTACATGCTACGTCATGCTACTCGGCGGTACAAACTGGGAGTGTGTTTTGACCGTGCTCATCGCCTCCATGGTGGCATACTACAAGGTTGCCCTCTGAGTATGTTGAGTATGAACTGTATCGTGAATATTTGGCTTCGCATGCTACATTCGCGAATTCCTGCTTGTCGGCCTCGGTCGTATGTTGACGACGTTAGCGCTACAGTCGTTCAGCCCAACAAGCAGTCACTCATTGCGGATTTGCAATCAGTTGAGCGCGAGTCTTCCAAGTTCGTCGCGTCCTTTGGTGGCAAAATGAACACGGACAAGTGCTTCACCTTTGGTCACCATGGTGTACGGGGCATGGTAAATGCCTCTATTGCACATCTGGATGAGTTTAGACTGGTTGGCGGAAGCTTTGTTTACAGACTCACCGAACAAGGTTCACCTACCGAGCTGGAGGTTAAGCGACTGCAGAAATGGATGCGTGTGGTTGTGCGTGCTCGCCACTTACCGGTATCCTTTCGTGATCG